TTCGTGGATGAGCATTATTCCATTGTATATATGTACCACATCTTCTTTATCCACTCATCTGTCGATGGGCATTTAGGTTGTTTCCATGACCTGGCTATTGTAAATAGTGCTTCAGTGAACAGTGGGGTGCATGTGTCCTTTTGAATTTATGGTTTTCTCTGGGTATATGCCCAGTAGTGGGATTGCTGGATCATATGGTAATTCTATTTTTAGTTTTTTAAGGACCCTCCATACTGTTCTCCAAAGTGGCTGTATCAATTTACATTCCCACCAGCTGTGCAAGAGGGTTCCCTTTTCTCCACACCCTCTCCAGCATTTGTTGTTTGTAGATTTTCTGATGATGCCGATTCTAACTGGCGTGAAATGATACCTCATTGTAGTTTTAATTTTCATTTCTCTAATAATTAGTGATGTTGAGCAGCTTTTCATGTGCTTCGTGGCCATCAGTATGTCTTCTTTGGAGCAATGTCTATTCAGGTCTTCTGCCCATTTTTGGATTGGGTTGTTTGTTTTTTTAATGTTGAGCTGCATGAGCTGTTTATATATTATGGAGATTAACCCTTTGTCCGTTGATTTGTTTGCAAATATTTTCTCCCATTCTGAGGGTTGTCTTTTCGTCTTGTTTATGGTTTCCTTTGCTGTGCAAAAGCTTTGAAGTTTCATTAGGTCCCACTCGTTTATTTTTGTTTTTATTTCTATTACTCTAGGAGGTGGATCAAAAAATCTCTTGCTGTGATTTATGTCAAAGAGTGTTCTTCCTATGTTTTCCTCTAAGAGTTTTATAGTGTCCGGACTTACATTTAGGTCTCTAATCCATTTTGAGTTTATTTTTGTGTATGGTGTTAGGGAGTGTTCTAATTTCATTCTTTTACATGTAGCTGTCCAGTTTTCCCAGTACCACTCATTGAAGAGACTTTCTTTTCTCCATTGTATATGCTTGCCTCCTTTGTCATAGATTAGTTGACCATAGGTGTGTGGGTTTATCTCTGGGCTTTCTGTCTTGTTCCATTGATCTATGTTTCTGTTTTTGTGCCAGTACCATATTGTCTTGATTACTGTAGCTTTGTAGTATACTCTGAAGTCAGGGAGTCTGATTCCTCCAGCACCGTTTTTTTCCCTCAAGACTGCTTTGGCTATTCAGGGTCTTTTGGGTCTCCATACAAATTTTAAGATATTTTTTTCTAGTTCTGTAAAAAGTGCCATTGATAATTTGATAGGGATTGCATTGAACCTGTAGATTGCTTTGGGTAATATAGTCATTTTCCAATATTGATTCTTCCAATCCAAGAACATGGCGTATCTCTCCATCTGTTGGTATCATCTTTAATTTCTTTCATCAGTGTCTTATAGTTTTCTGCATACAGGTCTTTTGTCTCCCTAGGTATGTTTATTCCTAGGTATTTTATTCTTTTGGTTGCAATGGTAAATGGGAGTGTTTCCATAATTTCTCTTTCAGATTTTTCATCATTAGTGTATAGGAATGCAAGAGATTTCTGTGCATTAATTTTGTATCCTGCAACTTTACCAAATTCATTGATTAGCTCTAGTAATTTTCTGGTAGCATCTTTAGGATTCTCTATGTATATAGTATCATGTCATCTGCAAACAGTGACAGTTTTACTTCTTCTTTTCCAATCTGTATTCCTTTTACTTCTTTTTCTTCTCTGATTGCCATTGCTAGGACTTCCAGAACTATGTTGAATAATAGTGATGTGAGTGGATTCATTGTCTTGTTCCTGATCTTAGAGGAAATGCTTTCAGTTTTTCACCATTGAGAATGATGCTTGCTGTGGGTTTGTTGTATATGGCCTTTATTATGTTGAAGTAGGTTCCCTCTAGGCCCACTTTCTGGAGAGTTTTTAACATAAATCGGTGTTGAATTTTGTCAAAAGCTTTTTCTGCATCTAATGATATGATCATATGGTTTTTATCCTTCAATTTGTTAATATGGTGTATCACATTGATTGATTTGCATATATTGTAGAATTCTTGCATTCCTGGGATAAACCCCACTTGATCATGGTGTACGATCCTTTTAATCTTCTGCTGGATTCTGTTTGCTAGTATTTTGTTGAGGATTTTTGCATCTATGTTCATCAGTGATATTGGCCTGTAGTTTCCTTTTTTTGTAATATCTTAGTCTGATTTTGGTATCAGGTCGATGATGGCTTTGTAGAATGAGTTTGGGGGTGTTCCTCCCTCTGGTATATTTTGCAAGAGTTTGAGAAGGATGAGTGTTCACTCTTCTCTAAATTTTTGATAGAATTCACCTGTGGAGCCGTCTGGTCCTGGACTTTTGTTTGTTGGAAGATTTTTAATCACAGTTTCAATGTCATTACTTGTGATTGGTCTGTTCATAATTTCAGTCTTGTTCAGTCTTGGAAGGTTATACCTTTCTAATAATTTGTCCATTTTTTCCAGGTTGTCCATTTTATTGGCATAGAGTTGCTTGTAGTAGTCTCTTAGGAAGATTTGTATTTCTGCGGTGTCTGTTGTAACTTCCCCCTTTTCGTTTCTAATTTTATTGATTTGAGTCTTCTCCCTCTTTTTCTTGATGAGTGTGGCTAATGGTTTATCAATTTTGTTTAACTTCTCAAAGAACCAGCTTTTAGTTTTATTGTTCTTTGCTATTGTTTTCTTTTTTTCTATTTCATTTATTTCTGCTCTGATCTTTATGATTTCTTTCCTTCTGCTAACTTTGGGTTTTGTTTGTTCTTCTTTCTCTAGTTCTTTAGGTGTAAGTTTAGATTGTTTATTTGAGATTTTTCTTGTTTCTTGAGGTATGCTTGTATAGCTATAAACTTCCCTCTTAGAACTGCTTTTCCTGCATCCCATAGGTTTTGGATCGTCATGTTTTCATTGTCATTTGTCTCTAGGTATTTTTTGATTGCTTCAGTGATCTCTTAGTTATTTAGTAACGTATTGTTTAGCCTGCATGTATTTGTGGTTTTTACATTTTTGTCCCTGTATTTCATTTCTAATCTCACAGTGTTGTGGTCAGAAAAGATGTTTGATATGATTTCAATTTTCTTAAATTTACTGAGGCTTGATTTGTGACCCAGATGTGATCTATCCTGGAGAATGTTCTTTGTGCACTTGAGAAGAAAGTGTAATCTGCTGTTTGGGGATGGAATGTCCTATAAATATCAATTAAATCTATATGGTCTATTGTGTCATTTAAAGCTTGTGTTTCCTTATTTATTTTCATTTTGGATGATCTGTCCATTGGTGTAAGTGAGGTGTTAAAGTCCCCCACTGTTATTGTATTACTGTCGATTTCCTCTTTTATAGCGGGTAGCAGTTGCCTTATGTATTGAGGTGCTCCTATGTTGGGTGCATATATATTTATAGTTGTTATATCTTCTTCTTGGATTGATCCCTTGATCATTACATAGTGTCCTTCCTTGTCTCTTGTAGCATTCTTTATTTTAAAGTCTCTTTTATCTGATATGAGTATTGCTACTCCAGATTTCTTTTGATTCCCATTTGCATGGAATATCTTTTTCCATCCCCTCACTTTCAGTCTGTATGTGTCCCTAGGTCTGAAGTGGGTCTCTTGTAGACTGCATATATATGCAGCATATATATGGGTCTTGTTCTTGTATCCATCCATGTCTTTTGGTTGGAGCTTTTAATCCTTTCATGTTTAAGGTAATTATCGATATGTATGCTCCTTTGACCATTTTCTTAATTGTTTTGGGTTTGTTTTTGTAGGTCCTTTCTTCTCTTGGGTTTCCCACTTAGAGAAGTTCCTTTAGCATTTGTTGTAGAGCTGGTTTGGTGGTGCTGAATTCTCTTAGCTTTTGCTTGTCTGTAAGCTTTTGATTTCTCCATCGAATCTGAATGAGATCCTTGCCAGGTAGAGTAATCTTGGTTGTAGGTTCTTCCCTTTCATCACTTTAAGTGTATCATGCCACTCCCTTCTGGCTTGTAGAGTTTCTGCTGAGAAATCAGCTGTTATGGGAGTTCCCTTGTATGTTATTTGTTGTTTTTCCCTTGCTGCTTTCAATAATTTTTCTTTGTCTTTAATTTTTCCAATTTGATTACTATGTGTCTTGGCATGTTTCTCCTTGGGTTTATCCTGTATGGGACTCGCTGCGCTTCCTGGACTTGGGTGGCTATTTCCTCTCCCATGTTATGGAAGTTTTTGACTATAACATCTTCAAGTATTTTCTCGGATCCTTTCTCTCTCTCTTCTCCTTCTGGGACCCCTATAATGCGAATGTTGTTGCGTTTAATGTTGTCCCAGAGGTCTCTTAGGCTGTCTTCTTTCTTTTCATTCTTTTTTCTTTATTCTGTTCTGCAGCAGGTGAATTCCACCATTCTGTCTTCCAGGTCACTTATCCGTTCTTCTGCCTCAGTTACTCCACTATTGATTCCTTCTAGTGTATTTTCCATTTCAGTTACTGTATTTTTCATCTGTGTTTGTTTGTTCTTTAATTCTTTTAGGTCTTTGTTAAACATTTCTTGCATCTTCTTGATCTTTGCCTCCATTCTTTTTCCGAGGTCCTGGATCATCTTCACTCTCATTATTCTGAATCCTTTTTCTGGAAGGTTGCCTATCTTCACTTCATTTAGTTGTTTTTCTGGGGTTTTATCTTGTTCCTTCATCTGGTATATAGCCCTCTGCCTTTTCATCTTGTCTATCTTTCTGTGAATGTGGCTTTTGTTCCACAGCCTGCAGGATTGTAGTTCTTCTTGCTTCTGCTGTCTTCCCTCTGGTGGATGAGGCTATCTAAGAGGCTTGAGCAAGTTTCCTGATGGGAGGGACTGGTGGTTGGTAGAGCTGGGTGTTGCTCTGGTGGGCAGAGCTCAGTAAAACTTTAATCTGCTTGTCTGCTGATGGGTGGGGCTGGGTTCCCTCCCTGTTGGTTGTTTGGCCTGAGGCATCCCAACTCTGGAGCCTACCTGGCTCTTTGGTGGAGCTAATGGCGGACTCTGGGAGGGCTCACACCAAGGAGTACTTCCCAGAACTGCTGCCAGTGTCCTTGTCCTCACGGTGAGCCACAGCCACCCCCGGCCTCTGCAGGAGACCCTCCAACACTAGCAGGTAGGTCTGGTTCAGTGTCTCTTGGGGTCACTGATCCTTCCCCTGGGTCCCGAGGTGCACACTACTTTGTGTGTGCCCTCCAAGAGTGGAGTCTCTGTTTCCCCCAGTCCTGTCAGAGTCCTGCAATCAAATCCCACTAGCCTTCAAAGTCTGATTCTCTAGGAATTTCTCCTCCCATTGCCAGACCCCCAGGTTGGGAAGCCTGATGTGGAGCTCAGAACCTTCACTCCAGTTGGTGGACTTCTGTGGTATATGTGTTCTCCAGTTTGTGAGTCACCCACCCAGCAGTTATGGGATTTGATTTTATTGTGATTGCGCCCCTCCTACAGTCTCATTGTGGCTTCTCCTTTGTCTTTGGGTTATCTTTTTTGCTGAGTTCCAGTGTCTTCCTGTCGATGATTGTTCAGCAGTTAGTTGTGATTCTGGTGTTCTCGCAAGAGGGAGTGAGAGCACATCCTTTTACTCTGCCATCTTTGTTTGTGGGCTATTCCTATTTTAAATGGTGGTATCTTTTCTATTTGTTAAGTTATGCTTTCTAGTTGTTGTTTTCTGGTGACTAGATCTGAATTGATACTTGTGTGTTTAATCTCACTTCCAGCAATATTGCTCTAGTTCTGTTGATTGTCTCTAGGTACTTTAAAATTTCCTATGAAAACAGTAACAAATCCAATAAGACTATTATTTATTCCTTTCAAATATTTACACCTTAATTTACTTTCCATATTTTATTCCAGTTTTGGGCTTCTACTATAGTGTTAAGTAGAAGTAGTAAAAGTGGCAACCCCTGTCTTGTTCTTAAATCTAAAGGGAACAATTCCAACATTTACCCATTTGTGATTGTACATATTGTAGGGGGTATTTTGGTTATCTTGTTTCAAGTTAAGTTAGTTTCCTTTTATTTTAGCTTATTGAATTGGTCTTGAATTTTATTAAGAATTTTTTATGTATCTACTGATGTGAGCATATTTTTTTTCTATAATCTATTAATGCAGTGAATTAAATGTATACACTTTCTATTAAAAATATCATTGCATTCCTGGGATGTACCCAACTTGTTTATGGTGCATTTTTTGAGAGTACTGAGTTTCCTTTGCTAATATTTTGTTTAGGACTTATGCAATCATGAGGAAAATGGGCTCTAATATTTATTTTAATTGATCTAGTTTTGGGTTGTATCAGTCAGAATGAATTATACTGCACCACCGTAAAAACACTTCCAAAATTTTAGTGGCTAAAACATTATACTTTTACTTATTGCTCATGCTACATGCTCATCTCACCTCAGTCACACAGAGACTCAGGATGACAGAGCTTCCACCATCTGGAACATCACCAGTCACCAGGGAGAGAAGGACATAACAAAGCATGCACTGACTATTAAGGACTTTTTCTGGAAGTTACACAAATCATAGCTACTTATATTTCCTTAAGCAAAGCCAGGTCATATGGCCATGGTTCTCATCAAAGAATTAGACAATTGTAATTGTAGGTTTGTCAGAAGGGGAATAACTAAAAGATTGATAAATAGCTCTAAAGACTGCCATAGTCCACACTTCTGGTAAGAAAACATTTAGTTTTCTATCCTACTCACATACAAAATATATCCCCCTCCACTCAAAGGAATTAATACAAAAGTCCTTTCTAATCATGATATCAATTCCACAGCCCAAGATATTTAAGGAATATAGTGGCTTTGTGCAGTATCTTGGTATTAGGTCTGGATGTGGCTCTTCTTGAGTTGAAGGCCTATAAACTCCTCCAAAATCCAATATGCAGTAATGGAACCAGGACCGATTACTGCAGTAATCATTCTGACAGAGGAAGAATTGGAGTCACAGAGCAAACACTGATCCCAGAAAATAGAGATTTGTCTGTAGCAATTCTGAAAAATTTCCAAAAGACATATTGAGGATTTCCCCCCAAAGTTGGTGGGGAGTGATTCTTGAATAAGCACTGGTTCTCCTCCTTAGGGCAGCTAACTTGTCCAATCTTCTCCCTGGATAATTTTTCTTTTTCTTCTCCCCCCTCCCCTTTTTTTATTACATTATTCTCCTTGGCTGTATCTGAATTGGACATCAGCAAGATGTTCTTCTTGGAACCTGAGCAACTCTCTCAGCTGACTTCTTGCCTATAGATAGTTGGGAGCCCCAGGATCTTTTTAAATATCAACCAGTTATGGTCTACTTTAGTCCAAGCTGTTGATTCTTTTGACAGCACAATTTTCTAAAACATAGTTTTGGCTTCTCTATTTTACTGCAGTCAGCTCTATGAGCAATGACCACACCTAAGTTTCTTTTGAATCACGGTTCTCACTTTGAATATTTCTTTGCTGTCTCTTCCCCTTGCCTCTCTCTCTTTCTCCACTTAGCTATGTATGTCTAAAGCTTGTATGAATGCCTCCATTACTGCAATTGTTGCTTTTACCAAGTATTTAGCCACTACATAATAAAGACCCTCACTCTTCTAGTCTATGGTAAAAACTGTCCTCATTATCAAACATATAAGCCATTGAGCCAATACCACATAGTTAGTGTTGTTTGTTAGCACTCTGTATATCAAGGTACCAGTATCTGTCAGCATAAGCCTGATTCTACCGTGTATGACGTTATGATTTATAATAAGAAGTATAGGTCCAGTCTTTGTCCACTGTTCTTGGCACAGAGCTCTTAAAACCCTTGGAATTTCCTTTGAGGAGAGTGATAAATGTGTCTCTTGTTATGTGAATGAGCTGATTTTGGACTAGCTAGTTGCCAGAGCCCTGTGATTAGATGGAGACTTAAAGCCCACCCCACCCCCACTCTACCCCTGCCACACACACCCTGACCTCCAAGGAGGAAAGAAGTGTTGAAGATTGAGTTTAGTTGTCAATGGCCAATGATTTAATCAATTATACCTATGTATTGGAGCCTCCCATAAAAAACCAAAAAGAGGGGGATCAGAGAGCTTCCCAGTTGGTGAACATGTGGAGATGTGGAGAGAGTAGCGTACCTGGAAAAGGCATGGAAGCTCCATGCCCTTTTCCTATACTTTGCTCTGTGCATTTCTTCCATCTGGATGTTCCTGAGTTACATTCTTTTTTAGTAAACCAGTAATCTCGTAAGTAAAATGTTTCTCTTATTTCTGTGAGCCACTCTAGCAAATTAATCAAAACTAAGGAGGGGGTCTTGGGAACCTCCAATCTACAGCCGGTTGGTCAGAAGCATAGGTGATAACCTGGGCTGGTGACTGGCATCTTTACTGGGGGAGGTGGGGGGCCTTATGGGACTGAGCCCTTAACCTGTGGATTCTGATGCTATCTCCAGGTAGATAGTGGCAGAACTGTGTTAAAATGTAGGATGTTCAGCTGGGTCCAGAGAAATGCTTGTTGGTGGTGTGAGGGGAACCACACACACACACTGGAATTGGATCCAGAAACCCAAAATACTATTGTAGCAAACAATACCCAAATCTTAGGGGCTTAAAATAACAAAGTTTTACAACATTCTTATGATTTGGGGTCGGTTGAGACTCCTCCAAGTCAACCTCACTTGGAGGAACAGGATGATGAAGTCCTCACTTATCACCCTGGCAGGGTAAAGGGAATGTTGCAAACCACATGCTGGCTCTCAATGACTTCCAAACTAATCGACCAAAGCAAATTACGTGCTTGTGTCTACATGCAACAGGATGGGAAGGTGCAGTATTACCACATGCCTGGAAGAAGGAAGAAAAGAATATGAGAAAATATTATGCTATTTACTATATGTATCAAATTAATTTTTTTCAGCTGAAGAAGTATGGCTAAAAGAAAATTGGATGCAAATGTTGGCTCTGATTGTTTCAGCTCTGACCATGCTGGAACCCTCAGGCTAATATGAGCATTGGGTCTTTCTGATAGATGGGGTCCTATTATAATGATGGAAGCATCAAGCCATTAGGCCTGATACCACTAAACATTCCCAACATTGTACTAACTCATGTTATTCCGACTCATGCTCACCAAATTATCTTCTAATAAATTATCTTTCTATGATAGCTTGCTCTCAAGGAAAAAAACACACTAGGGAGATGTGAACAGTCTGTCCCTTTATGGCCATAATTCCCAGTGAAATTTAGTAAATCAGCATTATGCTTTTATATCTTGTGTGAGATTTGTAGCATGAGTTGGCATCACCAAATCTGATCATCTCTGCTACACTGACATGATCAAACTCAGAAAAGTGGTCAATTCCGAGGAAAACTTCTGCTTGAAAATCTGGAGGCAGGGCGAATCAACCAGACATTTTTTTCATTTGACTGAGGACCACATGAAACTGCATTTCTAAAAAATCAAAAACAAACAACAAATCAAAAATCTTTCATTTCTTCAAAAGATGTAAAGTAAAAAAATGTAAGACAAGGAGGTGTGGAAGATCAGAATCTTGTGTTTAGATCAGAATCAGCTGGAGGCTGATTTTCCCCTAGCTACTTCTAGGGGAAAATCTGGGCACTAGATCAGAGACTACAGCTTAAAACAAGTCAAGCAGGAAACAGACACAAGTATAAAGCACAGTGAGGCATTGCTGAGCATGGTGAAAATCAGCCCTGGCTGACGGAAGGAGCCGAGAGCGGACTCAGAACAGGCTCAGCAGATCTCCACTTGGTTCAGAACACCCTCCATCATCCCTGTCCCACTGGCCTTTTTGCTGGTCCTTATACACAGCAAGCTCAATGGATTTTGAATTTGTTGTTACCCCTGCCTGAAATGCGTTCTCACCAAATTGTTCACCATGAGTACAAACATGGGCAAGAGGGTAGGTGGGCGAAAGCATGTTCTGGCTGTGTTGGCAAGTTCTGGTGCCCTTTTTGAACCATAATAGTGATAATAAATGCTTAACAAATGCTTAACGAATAAATATGAGAGCAGTAGATGGAAAAATCATTTATTCCTTTCTTAGAAGAGAAGGCCAGTCGTAGAGCCCTTGTTGACACAGCATATTGACAAAGGAGGCAGAGGAACAAAGAGAAACCTGCAGCTATGACATGTCCACAGGTTAATCCTAAGTAGGACTAATCTTCGTAGGCTTATACTGTGGTAAAACACAGGACGATAAATGAGAGTCAGGAAGCTCTGAGTTTGGTGATCTTGCTCAATAGATGGTAAATCAAAGCTAAATTATTGCACAGAATATCTGTTATATGAATGGCTTCACCACAAGCCAGAAAGAGTTCTTGTTAGCCTGGAGTAGGGCACCTATCTCTAAGATGGTCACGTCTCCCTGTTTTCTACCAGTAAACTTCTATATCAATCCCTCATAAAGAACAATCTCCATTTAGAGGTGAGTAAAAATAAAAAATGGATTATCTTGTGCCCATCAGACTCAGGTTAAAAGGAAAGACTGAAATATGACCTCTCTCCCCAACAAAAATGAAGTGTATTACTAGGCATCAGAAAAGTACTGACCAAAAGTTTTTCACAAATTAAAATAATTTGCTTAAGATATGAAATTAAAGAAAAAAATTAAGAACTAAAGAAATCGTCACTGGAAAAAAATAGCTCAAGTAAAACAGGCCAGCTCTCAAATCAGAGATGAAAAAAAGGAGATAAAAATGTAGCTTTCAAAACTCCAGGAAAAAAAATTTCCATCAATAAGGGTATACTGAAATATATTTTAGAATTTTAGAAAATTGGGGAAGGGGTATAGGAAACACAAAAAGAAGTCCAGAAGATATATAGCTATAGATATGAAAAAAATAAATAATACTGGAATAAAATTAAATTACTTTTGAATATAATAAATTATTTTTGAATAAATTCATAACTGTCTCATCTTACAGGGGGAAAATGTATAACCTTTAGCTTTATCTTCTTTTCTGGAGAAAATCATTTACATCTAGTTAGTTTCCTACAAATTAACATCCAACTTTAAAGAGTTGTAAAATGTCTGCTGCTAATCAATGGTGAATCAAAGAAAGGCTTATGTCTCTCCAGTCAGTAGATTCTTAGGCAGGTTTACCCACACAGCATGACAATGAAGATCATGCTGTCATCCTTCTGCCTTAACGTCTATTTGGGATAATCTTTCTTAGCAACTCTTCCTTGTGATAAAAAGTAATCGCCAAGTAGTATTTAATTTACATAAATGGTATTAGAATATGAATCTGTGAATTCATTTATTTTTCTCTTTCAATATTATCTCTTTTTTGTATTAGAGAGAGAGAGTGAGTGATATTTTGTTGTTTTTTTTACTAACGCGTGGTATTCCATTAGTGTGTTTTCACAAGGTGCAGAGCTATATTCAGGGAACAGTAAAGAGTTTGATGTGACTGGAACATTAGGTCCACAGAGAGAAATCTAGAAGATAAGGCTGGTAAGGTCAACTAAGGGCAATTTGTAAAGATCACATGTGTTATGTAATGGCATTTTATTGGTGTTGGAGCTGATGATAATGACGTTATACTAAGTTACTGTCCTTAGAAATTCAACCATTTATTCATTAGTTATCCCATTCACCAAATATTTTTAAAGGGTGATATATGAAAAAACAACAGCAATGTAATAGGCACAAAACAAAATGTGTCATGTAAGGAGACAGGTTTTATTTTCCATTCATCAAAGTGAAAAATATTACAAAGGTGATTCATTCCTTAGGTATATACTTCCTTCACCTTTTTACCTATAAATGCCCCTTCTCATTCTTAGGACCTACTATAGATGCTACATCTTTTGAGTTCTCTCTGATTATCCCAAGCTGGGTTAGGCATACAACTACAGTCTTTGGTAGATACTTCCATTATTGCAGTATTGTATTATTACCATGCGTTATTATCACTAGTCTATTTATTTTGTTCCTCATTGAATTTTGTATTGCATCTATTATATTGACTATTTTTGGTAGACACATACCCTATATAAATGTTGGGTGAACTGAAAAATCAGTGAACAAATAGATGAATTCTCTAGGACAGTAACAACAACTGTTACTAGTGTAACGACACTAGTGTAACAACAACAACAAAAAGCCATTATCATTTTTATACCCTTTTGATTATACAAAGGACAGGAAGCCCTGGAAACTAATCTTATGGAAAATAAATGACATGAAGATACTCATTGGAATGTTATGTTGTAATAGCAAAAATTTGAAAAACAAGTCAATACCAAATATTGGCAGATAACCATGTAAATAATGGTATATCAACTGGTTGATACATTATTCATTAAAGTTACACTACAAACAGTTGCAACAGTATATAACAGTATGGAAAATACTTAAAACATAATTATAAATTCAAAAGCCCAAAAGGTTTATATTCTCAAGAATTTTAATTACATAAATATCTACAAATGTAACAGTCAAATCATGTGCTGATAAGATGAAAGATATTTAACTCTGTTTTTCTATTTATGTTATATAATACTTTGAATATATATGCTTAAGAATTTCATTGAAATAATCCACAATTATCTGAAGAATAGAAGGTGCTAAAGAAAAATTTGAAGTGCAAATTATTGGAAATAAATCATGTTTTAACTGGACATTGTCTATTGGCATCATTAATAGAAATAAAAATGATTATTAATCATATTTCAAGTAAAGTGCAATTTATATTATCTTAGAATTATAGCAAACTAAGATATTTAGGCTATTGGTTAATTAAACATCAGGTTTATCACTTCTATTCATCTTACCCCAAATTTGGAACTGAGGAAGCTAAGCTTCCCCCTTCTCTCAAATTAAGGGATTTTCAAAAGATGAACATATTAGAAATCAAGTATATTGCTGCTTTATTCTGTGCTATTACCTCCTTGGAAATATTCTGTTACCTTTTCTTATCAGGATAAGAAATTTTTTTCCATATTCAAATTCTAAGTCATGTTTGTGATTCCTTCTATGTGAAAAATAAAGCCAATAAATGCTTAATTAAAATATTTACACATCAGAAAAACACCTCTGGAGTTTTATTTGTGACATCATACCATTTATCTCTCTATCCTTTTATCCTTGTGTTGAGCAGGCAGAACTCAGAGTCCAGGGAGAGTCTGCAGGACAGAGTAGCAGAGAAAAGAGAGGTGCAAGGAGAGAGATCTCTGAAGACCTACAGAGGGCCTCCCTTGAGTATTCAACTGAATACCGATCAGCACATCATGCCAGGGAACTAACTGAGGCCAGGGAAAGAATCACTCATCACCGCTTAAAAGGATAAGAGGTAAGACTATTCATTGCTCATACAGGGCAGGGAACAGTGCTTGTTTCCCTGGAGATTCTGATGATTTATGAGCCATTGTATAGAATATACAGAGGCTCTTTTCTCATTAATGAGGATTTAATTAGACTGAGCAGTGCTCTGGTCTCACCTAACAAATCTTAAAAGCTGCAATCAATAGGATCAAACTATCTTCAAGTAATTTAACTGCATTCCAGAACAAAACTAAATGCTATCTATAGAAACACAAAAATAACGAGCGTCCAATAAGGTAAAATTCACAGTGTTTTAATTCAATCAAAAATTACTAGGCATGCAAACAAACAAGGAAATAAGACCCATAACAAGTATATAAATCAGTTAATTAAAACCTGCCCAGAACTGAAACAGTTGTTAGAATTAGCAGACAAGTACATTATAACAGTTATTATCACTACAACAAACTAGAGTTAACAGACTACTAGAGATGAAAATGCAATGTGTTCAAAAAACTTAAGTAGAGGCATAGAAGGTGGCAACAAGACCCAAATCATACTACTAGAAATGAAAACTACAATATATGAGGTGAAAATACACTGGGTAAAATCAAAAGAAGATTAGACCTTGTAAAACAAAATATTAATGAACTTGAAGGCATAGCAATAGAAGCTATCCAAGGAAAACAAAAACATAAAAGAGAATGAGGGAGGGGCTTCCCTGGTGGCGCAGTGGTTGAGAGTCCGCCTGCTGATGCAGGGGATACGGGTTCATGCCCCAGTCCGGGAAGATCCCACATGCCGCAGAGCGGCTGGGCCTGTGAGCCATGGCTGCTGGGCCTGCGCGTCCGGAGCCTGTGCTCCGCAAAGGGAGAGGCCACAACAGTGAGAGGTCCGCGTACCGCAAAAAAAAAAAAAAAAAAATATATATATATATATATATATGTGTATATATATATAATAAATGAGAGAGGTGACATCACTGAAGGAAGATTCTATAGATATTAAAATGATGATAATGAAATACTATTTCTTTAAAACTTAAAGACAATAAATTCAACCACTTAGATGAAAGGACAAATTCTTTGAAAGACACAATATATCAATACTCACTCATAAATAAATAATATGAATATATGATGTCTATTAAGGAACTTAAATTTGTAGTTAAAAACATTCTCACAAGGAAAGTCCAGTCCTAGATGGCTTCACTAGGGAGTCAACCAGTCATTTCAGGAGTAAATAATGCTCATTCTATACAAAGTCTTCCAGAAAATTGAAATGGACAGAATGTCCCCTGTCTTAGTCTGCTCAGGCTGCCATAACAAAGTACCATGGACTGAATGGCTTAAACTACAGAAATTTGTTTCTCACAGTTCTGGAGGCTGGGAAGTCCAAGATCAAGGTGATAGCTAGGTAGGTTTCAGTCTGAGTCCTCTTCTCTTGTCTTGTAGGTGGTCACCATCTCATTGTGTGCTCACATAACCTCTTCTTTGTGCATACTTGAGGAAAGGGAAGGGATGAGAGAGGGGGAGAGAGAGAGGGAGAGGGAGGGAGAGAGGGAGAGAGAGGAAGAGAGAGGGAGAGAGAGCGAGAAGGCTCAAGATCTCTGGAGTCTCTTCTTATAATGGCACTAATCTTATCATGAGGGCCCCACTCTAATGATCTCATCTAGCCTGAATTACCTCCTAAAATACCCACCTTCAAATACAATCACACTGAGGATTAGGCTTCAACATACAAATTTGGGAGGGACACATTCAGTCCATATTACCTCCCAACTCATTCTACAAAACCAATATTACCTTGGTACCAAAACTAGACAAAGATATTTTTAAGTAAAGATAAATACCCCTCATGAACATAAATGCAAAAATATAGTAAATTTTAATAGTAAAAACGTAGTAAAAGAATTGAATCTAACAATGTATAAAAAAAGACAATGCATCATGATCAAGTGGAGTTTACCACAGGAGTGCAAGATTGGTTTATCATTGAAAGGATCGGTCAATGTGACACAACATACTAACAAACCAAAAAAAGAAGAAAATATCTGACAATTGCGTCCAATACAGAAATGTATTTGACTAAATTCAACTTCCATTTCTGATTAAAAAAAAAAAAAAAACTCTTAGTAAACCAGGATTGGAAGGAAACTTCTGCAACCTGATAAAAGGCTTCTATGAAAAACTGACAACAAATTTTTATGTATTATGATTTTGGTTCTGACTACAGGTCAGTGTTCCATTACTAAAATTCATCCAACTGTTCACTTAAAATGGGTAGCTTCTATTTTATATAAATGATATGTCAGTGAGGCTGGGGAGAAGTCAAGGAATAAAATCTCTCACGCAGAATATTCCTTTACGTTGAATGCTTCTAATTATTATCTGGTCAACACATATATTTCCATTGAAAGGGAATTCACAACCACAAGCAAAACACAAAAACCTATTTCACTTTAAAACAATACAAATCATGCTATTCCTTTCATCAAAACAAATAGGTGTCCCTGCAGCTTCTTCCTAAGGATTTTCATCCTATTTTCTTCAGTGACATTGTCCTGTCAACAGTTCATCATATTTTGTTGTGTTAAGACCTTTCACAATGTTATAAATTTTTGTGCATCAACAGTATCATAATAACCCATTTACACACATACTACAAACCTTTGCGCCTAATTATTTTATTTCTTCCATTAGATGAACAAATGCCCCATGTTACTTCAAAATGCCTATGTCCTGGAGAGTTTTATACACTTTATTTACACTGCCTCAACAAAATGATTAGCGAAGAACGGCCATCATCAAAAAATCTACAAACAACAAATGCTGGAGAGGGTGTGGAGAAAAGGGAACCCTCTTGTGCTGTTGGTGGGAATGTAAATTGATACAGCCACTATGGAGAACAGTATGGAGGTTCCTTAAAAAACTAAAACTAGAACTATATGACCCAGCAATCCCACTACTGTGCATATACCCTGAGAAAACCATAATTCAAAGAGAGTCATGTACCCCAATGTTCATTGCAGCTCTATTTACAATAGCCCGGAGATGGAAACAACCTAAGTGTCCATTGACAGACAAATGGATAAAGAAGATGAGGCACATATATACAATGGAATATCACTCAGCCGTAAATAGAAACGAAATTGAGTTATTTACAGTGAGGTGGATGGACCTATAGAGTCTGTCATACAGAGTGAAGTAAGTCAGAAAGAAGAAAACAAATACTGTATGCTAACACATATATATGGAATCTAAAAAAAATGGTTCTGAGGAACCTAGGGGCAGGACAGGAATAAAGATGCAGACATAGAGAATGGACTTGAGGACACGGGGAGGGGGAAGGGTAAGCTGAGATGAAGTGAGAGAGTGGCATTGAGATATATACACTACCAGATGTAAAATAGATAGCTAGTGGGAAGCAGCCGCATAGCACAGGGAGATCAGCTTGGTGCTTTGTGACCACCTAGAGGGATGGGGTAGGGAGGGTGGAAGGGAGATTCAAGAGGGAGGGGATATGGGGATATATGTATTCATATAGCTGATTCACTTTGTTATACAGCAGCAGCTAACACAACAATGTAAAGCAATTATACTCCAATAAAGATGTTAAATAAATAAATAAATTATATATATATAAAAAAATGTCTTAGCACTATTACATGATAGTGTCCCCAGGCAGAACCTGAAGTCTTGTTGGAACTAAAACTGGCAGAAGCTATTGCTATCTTTATCCAGTTACAGATGAGACAACAGAGAGATGTCAATTCAAGGAGTTAACAGAAGGACTAGCTGGTCTTGTTAATGCAACACAGATGAAAAGAGTCATTTTGTTATAAAGCAGAAACTAACACACCATTGTAAAGCAATTATACTCCAATAAAGATGTTAAAAAAAAAAAAGAAAGAAAAGATTCAAGGGTAGTCACAGGGTACAAAAGTAAATAATCAATACATAAAAACAAGGAAATTAGGGCAAGTGATATAAAGACCAGGGAAAGCACTAACCTGAGAATGGAGGAATGTTAATAAGACCAGACAAAGAATCAGAAAGTGGTGTCTACAAAAGTAGAAGAATTGAGGACTAAGAAGTCAACAAGTCACTGGAATCTTCAGAATCATATACAAAAATAAAGAGGATACAGGGAAACAGGGATTAAGCTTGAGAAAGTGTGCCTGGATAGACATGTTATTTGCAGATAATTCCTCCCAATTTTCTAACTGTAATCCATGCCTCAACTCAGATAGGTCCTGCTGACCTAGGAAGCCTTTGGATCAGAAAACAAGTGACAGGTTTATAGAATGAGAGGAGGAGAGTCAGGACAAACAACGTAATGAAAATAATCCTTCTAGCTGAATTCTCAAGCCACTCATGTCCAAACCAGGTATCTTTCCTACTTTCAATTTTTGCTTCTGTCCTGTGTTGTAACTTTTCTTGGTACCACCGTGTAAAACTCTGTTATTGGTTCTCGCCTGCTCATCCCCAATTCAGTTCCGTGGATGGTAGACTAAAGTTGTACCTGATTTAAGGATGTGGCTAGAATCTGGCTGAATCTCGCCTTCTTAGCCCAGTCCCGACCTCATAGTGGCAGCAGACATTGTACATTGACAAGATGTATCGTTTGGAAGACCTTTCTTAGACTTACAGAGTGCTTGGTAGAGGTATGTCCTGGTTGTTAATATTAATATAAATACAGGCATTAATACTGTACCAGAATCCAAATGAACACATTTTAGGCAACAGGGCTAAGAGCCCTGATCAAACTGGGCATAGAAGAGGCCAGAATTAAATGATGCCTCTAACCATGATTCACTTGAATAAGATGCTACTGCGTAAAATAGAAGAATATAACTTAGGACAGAAAGAGAAATTCTGATTTGGGAAGTTGTATAGAGTTCAGAAAAGCTGAGAAAACTCAGAGAATCACTGAGTTCTTTATCCCCCCACCTCCCACCTTACTCTATGGTGTAACCAAAACTTACCTTAAAATGCCATCATTCATTGTTCTTATTAATACGTTTTCTATTTTGTTATTTTTATGAATCTGTTCACACTTAAACCTATTACAGGACCACTGGTTATTAGTGGTAATTTAAAGGAACATTTCCTCGCAGGTGTGTTCTTAATTGAGGTCACTGTCAGCAGCTCAAGTTCGGTGGCCCTGACCACTAGGGAGCATTCTGTTGGTCTTTGCATGGGATTGTGCCTATGAGGTCTGTTTCTTGAGCTGTAGATCACCCACCAACTGCAGCCACTGTATCTAAGTAATGTGCTTCCTCATTAGATAAAATATATTATTTCTTGGTCTCCCCACACCCAAAACATACTCCATTTTCATAAAGAATCTGTAAGTCAATGTTCGGAGAATACAGAAGGCATGGATGAGGTATGATACTGAGTCTGTAATAAATATACAAAGTGATTTATGGAGAGTCAGTCAACAGGCACTCTGCCTCCTCTCTGAGGAATTTTTTGTAGTTTTACTCATAAAAATGAAAAAATACATGCAGTGGATAGTGAACTGGAAAATGTATTTAAAGGAATAATTTGTTTTATATCAAAGAGCAAAAAAAAAAACAGCCAGGAGGCCACTATACTGTTCCTGCCTTTTAATTCCAAAATGGAATGAGACTATCAGACAGTAAATCTGTTTTAAAGTGATTTTTTTCTTAAGGGAGAAGCTAGGAGAGACACAGAGAGAGGGATATTTTAACCTTAGGAGAGTAAAGGAAAATACTTGCAGTAATCTAAAATTGTTATTCTATTTATGTCTAAAATAAATGCATTGCTGGACAATCTCACTGAGTAATGCTCTGTTCTGGAGCCGTATTGCTGTCGTAAAGCCCAAAGCTGCTGCCTTCCTTCCCCTATTCCATTTCTAGAAGTTGTGCTGTTACGATGCCGCAGAGCTCACAGATGGTACCAGGCAGTATGGTGGGGGTTATTCAAGTCTCACTCCTGCCTCGTACACCCCTGAGAGGGACTGTAGAATGGAGGCCATGATTAGAGGGTGGAATCCAGCGACCATTATCCCTGCTTATGTTATTAATTAGGAGCCCTCTGCACATAAGCAAGATGTGCAGAGGAGCCGTTATTAATGTAACAAAGAGATCTTTTCAGTATCTGCAATTCACACACACATTAGTTCGGAGGCATTCCCAGAAACTGTTAGTTCCAGTAAAATCAAGTTGTTTAGAACACATGGTCAGATTTTTCTCATTTCCCCTCCTCTGGGCAAGGCATGCGGAAATGTTATTGAGGGAGAATTTAGGAATAGTGATACTATTAATTCATACATGTGTAGCGTTCTTAACAGTTTACAAAACACATACATACACGTTACCTCATTAATCTTCACAACCATATGAGACAGATTACTAACATTATTGCCATTTTTTACAAATAAGAGAAATGAAGTCTCTCAAGCATCAGAAACTTACCAAGACCCCACGGCTTTTAAACAGTGGAGCTGGAGTTACAGTATGTATTTTTTTTAATTGCAAGTTCAGGGGGACCATCTATACCAAATTAAAAGTAACCAACGAGCCCCCAAACTGGATAATACCCATCTATTATTAGGCATAGCCCTATCTGATCACAAAGTGATCTTTGCTGAACACCAGACGTCCATTCTAGGCATAGAAGCAAGGGACATTCTGAGCACTTGATGTCTTTTAGAGCAGCGCCCCTCAGATCGTGGCTCCCATACTGCTGCCTGTCTGCTGTTTGTAACTGGTGCGCAGTGTGATAAACACCGAAGCTAAGAGCAAAGCATTTGGAACATTTCATGGCAATTTGGCAGTCATTTTATGGCTGTTGAATAATAAAAAAATGGAGGCCTGTATTCTGTATGTCCTTTTAAAAAAGTTTTATTTTCCTATTAATTTATGTTTATTGTATTTCACAAAAGGATCAGGCCACAACAGAATGGGAGGAATAGTGATCCCTCTCCCAGTTTTGCACAGGAAGTACTGCTGTGTCCTGCCAGATAGCATGCCTGGGTTCCAGTTCATCAGGGCGTCCTAGGGAGGCTCTGTTCTACTCTATTGAAACACTTAACATGGGTTCTCCCTGAGGGCCCCTTTCTCATTGTTTTCTGAAGATCTGCATTTGCAAGAAGCATGTCCTTCAGGGTCTTTAATGCCCACTTCTGAAGAGTGGTTGTGTCAGTTCTGCTGCATAACGAATTACCACAAATTTAGTGACTGAATGCCACCCGTTTATTATCTCCCGGATTCTGTAGGTCAGAAGGCTGAGCACGACAGGACTGGATTCTCTGTGCAGGACCTCACAAGGCTGGCACCACGGTGCTGGCAGGGCTGCAGGCTCCTCTGAGGTGCTCTTCCAAGCTTATTCAGGTTGTTGGCAGAACCCAATTTCTTGCAGGACTGAAGGCTCTGTTCCTTGCTGGCTGTCAGCGGCGCTCATTCTAGAGGCTGTGCTCAGGTCTCAGCCACGTGGCCCTCCTCCAAGGCAGCTTGCAACATGTTTACTTGCCTTCTTCCAAAACAGTAGGAGAGGGATTCCAACATTTGACCCTCTTTTTACCTTTTCACCTGATTCAATCAGGCCCATCCAGGATAATCTCCTTTCTGGTTAACTCGAAGTCGACTGATTCGTGACCCAGTCACGCGAGTGATATCCTGTCTGCTCCCTGCTCCCAACCATACTAAAGGGGAGAGAATTATACAGGGTATGTACACCAGGGGTGAAAATTTGGGGGACATCTGCCAACCACAATGGTCAACATGTGATTACAAAAGCACACCAAGAAAATATATTGCTTTGTGAACTTGTCTTAACTACTCTCTTTGAAGAGTTTACCTAAAAATATTATTAATTAAAATGTGTAACTTTCCATTCATGT